TCACAAAACCTTTGGGTTTGTGTCTTAAGGGGGGGTCAGTCACTGTGGCTGCTGCTGTCATCCCCCACCACCATGCTGCTGTACTGCTTCTGCTGCTCCTCTTTGAACCACACCTTGGGCTGCGATCTCTTCAGACCTCCATCCCTGCAGACAGAGGCAGACAGGTGGAATCAAGACAAGCTGAGAGTGGTACTCTCATTTAAACACATCTGCTCCATGTCAACGAATATCATGGTTAATCTAAATAACTTAATCTAAAACTATTTTCTTTTAAATATATATTTGACAAACTTTTGAAAAAAAATAGCACATGTTACTCTGCGGAAGCAAAAATGTTACACATTTATTTTGAAACCATTTAAAAAAAGCTATTAGCTTAATTTATAACTTAAAAAAGGGACAGTTCACTCAAATCAAATCAAACTATATATATATATATATATATATATATATATGAATAGAGTAAATGCACAATTACATCCGCGTGGTGGTACATTTGGCAGCTGTAGTTTGGTAGAGAGAATAATAGTTCCTACATACTGCTCAGAATAAAGTATGCTGATTATATTCATCTAAGTGGGTCTTGATTTGTTCAAATGTATTAGTCAACACCACAAACAGAGTGCTATCTACATTAACACAAATAGTGAGAAGGTATACATCTCCACTGTTTAAATCTTTAACACCTCATATAAAAAATAATCGAGATTGACAAAAAGCACTACAGGTCAGAGGATAAAAACATATTTTTATATTTCCATTCAAGATGTTTTCTTGTTGTAGATGTGTGTTCAAGCACTATTTGTATTCACAGATAAAGTCCTGACATAGACTTCATATACAGAAAAACAGATGTTAAATACTCTAGAATGAAGAAATAACAATCAACTGAAGAAGTAAAAAAGGTTAAAATTAAAAAGAAGTAAAAAGCTTAAAATCTTACCACTGTAAATCTACGAGTCCTCCCCGTCGAGCAATGGCCGACTTCACTCTGTTGGCAAACTGGACAGCGTCTTCCCCCTCCTGCCATGTTGAAATGAAAACAAGTTCAATATACTGCACTGTGTGTGTGTGTGTGTGTGTGTGTGTGTGTGTGTGTGTGTTGTGTGTGTTGTGTGTGTGTGTGTGTACATGTGGAGTGACACATATACATGTGGCTCTTTGTCATGCATGTGCTCACGTGCGTTGGGGATATACACACCTGTTGATGCATTACGGGCAGGTACCAGACATTACAGACGAGGGCCCAGCTGGTCATCATCCTCAGCAGGTAGTTGACCATGCTATGCTTGGAACTGTTCCAGAAAGCATCTCCAACATTTGGGTCATACTAAGAAAAGTAAAAACATCAAATAAAGAAGCGCAATGCATAACTTTAAAGCATGTGAGCCAGTAGGCCACACATATCTGGATGAGTGATGGGGCTTTATTGAGAGACAGGATTAAAGTACCTTGATAGCCACTGGATATATAGTCGCTCCAATTTCAAAGCTTCCCTTCTTAAACATCATGACAGATGTGTTGTTTACACAGGTTCCTGTGGAAGCCAGACATTGGGAGATAAAAGGGGACAGAGTTGTGTGAAGCTTTGTCCAAACCCACATGAAATAGCTCATCATTAGTCACCACTGAGTGGCCAGACTGGTATAAAATATCAAGAGCTACCGAATCTTATCTTTGATGATACAAGGACAAACATGAAACCGCTGTGGATAGAGTAACTCCATCATTCCACATGGTCGAACTTACCCTCTGGAAATATCAATATGGGGAGCTTTTCCTTGTCATTCACATGGTCTGTCAACCTGGAAACAACACAAAGAGGTAATGGAAACCATCTCCTGACTAGAAATATATCTACATAGTATGTGTGTAGTAGTGGTAGTATGAGACCCTGGACTCCAAACAGAATGAGTCACTCTTTCCAAAACCTGTTGTTGCTTGGAAGAGATACAGGAACTCTAGATAATTTCACTGCCAGGAAAATGCCAACCTCTCTGGGTGCCAAAGCAACCACGGAGAGAAAATACAGGCGGAAAGACATGCAGTGACAAGCCAGAGAAAAAAGGTTGGAGTGAAGGAGTAAGCTCACCTTTTGGTCACTAGGTGGCGATCCTTCATCTCTGCCCTCTCAAACCAGACATGAGGACACGACCTCACCATGGCTCTCTGGAGGACTCCTATCAAACCTCCATGCACCTGACCCACCTGATGGACACATTAGGACAGTTATGGCAGCATGTCTTGATGTAGAATGACAGATTACCTACCAATATAGAAATCTCAACATGAAAGATCTTTTTTTTCACCATAGCATAACACCCATCGTTGCAGAGAATCACTATGTCAATAGGAGAGGTGTGATTGGCCACACAGATTCCTCCTTTTTGTGGTTTGTTTTCCCTGTTGTTGGGAGGTGAAGACATGAGGTCAGAGTCAATTGATATTCCTGATTGTTAGAAAGGTTAAGATGGAGGCTTGTTTACCTGTTGTGATAGCGGATGGTGGCAGAAAGTCCTCGAGCACAGATCCTGTAGCACATCACATGCACCCATTCACTGAGCCAGAACTTCATCCTGGAAACACAGACGTACACAGGGAAGCACAAAGGAAGGAGGAACCATATCCATTCAAAAAAATATCTAAATATGGAATACAACGATTGTTTGTGTGTTTGCAGTCACCTCCAATTTGGAAGTAATCCAACTGCAGATGTTCCTATGACCAACCAGGAGAGGCCGATGAAAGCCAGAGTTATCCTGGAGAAAGTGGAACACGTTGATTCATCAACTGTTCAGCATGTCAAATAAAAACCCATACATATAATATGGAAACTAAAATATTTGTCAGTATTTGCACGAGTACAATAACCATTGTTTGATAGCAGGTTGTTGTGGTTTGAAAGCATCAACAATGTCTGGAAAAAATTGGTGAAACTTTGAACAAAAAAAAAGATACTGTAAAAATATGTCATTTTTATGATTTTGCCAGATTGACTTCATCGAAGTTCGAAAACACTACATTTGTGTCTGAGAACTTCATTTTGCAGCAAGGGGACTGGACTTAGCATCTGTGTACCTAAGCGGGGCGAGGATGCAGTATCTCACAAAGATGCCGATGCCATAGACCAGCGTCAGCTTCAGACTGATGTACTGGAAATCGTTGTTGGTGCGAGTCAGTAAATTCCACGACACCAGCTCCTCTGAAGTGAACCGCTGTGTCACCTATATTTGGAGTTGATTGAAATAAAAAAATTAATCTGACTACAGTAACAAGGCAACTTATTTAGAAAAAAAAATGGTGGTATTGCAAATAAAGTTACCTCATCCTCTACAATGCTCTCAATTCCTTTTCTTGTGAAATAGAAACAGTCACTAAGTGCAAAGTCACCGCCCACCGGTGGTTTGGGGCGACTGCTTCTGAGTTCCTCCAACTCTTTCTCCATAGAGCCATCCTCCCTCTGGATGAGACCTAACACACACACACACACACACACACACACACACACACACACACACACACACACACACACACACACACACACACACACACACACACGAGAACACTTCAGCAGCATGAAAGATAAGGCATATCTTTACAGATTGTGTTGATCGAGCCAGAAGATTAAATGGTTTCAGTCAATGATATAAAAAATGTAATCGAATGTAAATGGACTTATTGAATCAGAGCATGAAACCATTCTGAGATGTTCACTTCAGAGAGAAAAGATAAAAGATGAAGATAAATATCAGCATGCTTTATCTAATAACTACAACATATGTCATTTGGCAGAACGCAGCAGAGGAATCTGCCAATTTCCACATTGAATAAACTGCACTGATACAGTAAGAGCCATTACAGTCATTAATGCAGGACTCTGCAAGAAAGTTCACCTTAAATGTCTAACAGTCTACCTTAAACCTACACCAACTGAAATACAAATTATATTACGAAAGAGCTGTTCAAAGAGCAGGGATCTGACACTATCCACCAACATCTCACAGAACAGTAAGGAAGTGGCCTCTACCTAATCCATGTTGCTGATAGTACTGCAGGCAAAGTCCAAAACCCGGAGAAACAAACTTTGTTTCCAATATTTCAGAATGATGTCTGCCTTATCGCTGTTTATGAAGCACTTTAAAGTTCTTATATGTATATTCCACATTTAAATGCAACGCTGACATACTTTGGACTTTGCAGAGGCCACATTTTGCTGACATTACTTACGTCTTTATGTGTTACAGCGAGGGATACCCTCCTGTGCAGCTCATTGACTGACAATGAGTTAAGTCTTGTGAGATAGGTGTAAGTTTGAGATATTTGATGCCAGACATAGTCCTATAGGTCAAAATAAAATAACTTAAATCTGCCATTAAAGGTTACAGCACAGGGCTATCATCACTGAAACAATGCATCCGTATTCAAAATCACTCTTAGCTGCAAAGACGAATCATTACTCTTTTAAACTAGGCAGTATCATTGCAACATGCATGATCAGACTTGTAGTAAAGTATCTTATGAAATCCAGCACTGAAGCGCAACACTATAGTCACTGTAGTCCAATCTTTCACAATGAAGGATATGACAATGATCTTCTTTAGAAGTGTCCTCCTTACCACAAGTAATTTTGATCATGCAGTTTTATACTCACCATTAGATGCAGATGGTTTGAGTGTTCGTTCATCTGTGACTTTCTGTATGTTCAGAGTGGCCCACTGTAGAGGACATACAGACAGGAGACATTTATGGTATCTGCATAGCCTAAGGCATGTACATCTGTGAGAAACACAAAAACAACAGTACCTCTAAGGTTTTCACCAGGATGTTCATGTAGGCCTCAGAGATGCCCAGTGAGAAGCCAAACATGGCAGGGACCATGATGAGGCCGATGAGGAGGCACAGCCAAGTCTTTAGTGCCCAAAGGGCAAATACCCAGAAGTCCTCCATGTCCACCTGATTCCCTGAGGAACAAGAGCAGCCTGTGGCTCAGAAGGCAGTCCTGTATGTGGGGAAAATGGTTTACTTTAGTCATATAAGTTCACCATAGTCATCCAAATAAGATAGATCAATCATTTATACAATCACATGTCACACTAAGAAGGTCAACAAGAATCACAATGACATGCCCAAAAAACTAATATCACTCATCATACACTCATAGTCACACACACACACACACACACACACACACACACACACACACACACACACACACACACACACACGATCACTGACGATCACTGACGATCACTATCACATGTAATGTAATCCTGCGAACGTAAACAACTCCATATATAACCAAACTATGACAGGACCCACCTATTATTAAACTACAAGACCTATAAGACCGAGTTGTTCATTTTTTCAAAAGCCTTTACAAAACTTTCATCGGCTCATTTTACCTGTCAGAGTTCAGTCCATGCCCTTCCTTCCCGAGGAGTAACTCAAAGGACTGAGCAGCAGGAGTAAACACGCCCATTTATGACTGGAACAAAGTTCACAGAGCAGCGCCTCCTGTGGACAACTGGAGAAGTGCAGACACGTGGCTCATTGTTCATGAGTGTGGGAAAATACAGTTCAAATTTTATTTTCAAATTGTTTCTATAGAGTTTGTGCTTGGCTGAGTTTTTTTTTTTAATCATAGTTAGTATTTTTGCTGTATTAAGGCCATTCGTACTAAAGAGATTTTTATAAAGATAAAGTGTATTATAATAAAATACAAGAACACAAAATGTCATAATAAAATACAAGAAAATAAAACCAAATCTAAGCTAGTTGGTTCATTCCTGACTTTGGATATATCAGAATCGCAGAATTAATACTAATTCCATTACTGAGGTCAACTTTGTTTCGGTGAAAGCATGTTTATGTTGCGGGTTACACTAATGCATTAACTTTAATGGATTGGGATATAGGGATTTTCAGTTTCTTTTGTCATTTGAGAGCATATTTTAAAAACTCAGCTTGCTAGTATATTACTGTATGTATAGTGCTACAAACTTGTTTGACTGCACAACACAGAAAAAACCTTGATGAGGAATGTAGCCACACTCTCTCCCTGTATAAAAGCTTTTTTCTCCCACCTAAGACTAACAAAAGGTCCTGATTATTTTCCAGGTTCAGATATTTCACAGTCTGTTGCACATTACTGTAACAGGAGACTTCAGGGGGTCAGTTAGAGTAATGTCTGTGAGAATGATAACAAGGCTTTGATACTTGGCAAAGATGCATTTGTATGAAGAAAGTGGTCTGTCTATTGCAGTAACATAAAGGGATATACACCGAAATATATGCAATTAAATAATGCAATTCATGTCTGAAAGTGTTTCCTTTCATCAGAACTATGTATCACTTTTACTTATTGAGAAATTGCAATTACCAGTAATTAATTTAGTGTTATTTCTGTTGATCAATTCTGATAATTGCCCAGGCTTGTAATTTCACACCAGATACAGACATTCCAGATGTGTGTTAAAACAGGAGCCAACAACACACTATTTGTCCTCTAATGTTAGGGTGTGCTGCTCCAGTGAGGCTGTGCTTGTTAGTTCTAACATGTGTTATCTTAAAACTTCAACATACACAACAGTTTGTACAATACAGCTTCTGTTGCATTGCGGTTTTATTGGGTCCACATAAGGGGAACACCCCAATGTGGCCCATTAGTGTTGTTGGTGTAGTAAGGTGGACTGAGATCAATGGTCATTATCTGTGTGGAACAGTGGTTTGCTCAGTTATTTTAAAGGGAGGTCTTCATTCTCATAAATTCTCTCCTCTCTACTCCAAAAATATTCCTGAGGGATTGTTTGGAATTGTTATTAACAACTATATATCTTCAATGCCCTTTAAACTCCACAGTTTACTGAGTTCCCTGCATTGTCTGCCTTTGTGTCTCCCATGCACCACAAAAATGAGGGAATGAATGTGTCATGTCTCAGTAACCACTTAATCACAGATGATTTTGCTCGAGGGATAAATGTTAGACACCTGAAGCAGCAGTATTTTCTGAAAGGGGTTTCAACTTTCAGAGGATACGCCCCAGAAAAAGCCTTTCACTCTGAGCTACATTATGTTGTGATCTACAGGAGCTTTAATGTTCCCTGGAAATAATAAATAATAATTCAATGGGCTATTCTACAGTGCACAACTAACATCAGACATGTTTGTTCACTTTTACAGTGGAACTCAATGGAAGCTGGAAGTAAAGCCATGCATATATTTAAGTGTGAAGGTCTTCTTAGCATCAGCTTCCTTGAATCCATTACAATCCTGCACACTGGAAACAATTCATGGTTGATACAAACTGATGCATGTCAATATAGACATCATTGTTTAAAAGCTACAGAAGCAACAATATTTGACCTTAATTCTAAATAAAACATAAGAACGCATGTGGTTTGACTTTGAGACTGTTTGTTCTTCACGGAATTAAGAGACCTCACACCAAATAATCTAATATTTAGTATAGTATGCAAAAATGCAGATGAAATATCTTTTTTTTAGGGTTTTGCTATATTTTTCCCAACCTTCCATGCCCCAGACTCTAAAGCACTAAAAGTTATGGAAGTTTAGTTAGTATACAATTAAATTACTGTGCATCTACTAAAGAAACAATGTCAATATTAAGCATTTATTTTAATTTCTGTTTGTAAGTGTTGGTTTCTGATTCTGAATGACAAGTATTTCTTATCATGGCTGATATAAGATATGTAATTGTTTTGACATATGAAACGACTGAGGAATTGTATGTGGGATATTTAGACATTTTATGAGGCTAATTTGAAAACTTTGGACAAAACTGTTTCACTTTTTACTGCTGATATTTCTTGAAAATTTGACTAACACTAATGTAGGCAAAACTATACTTCTCCTTCCTGGCACCCATTTGCTCCATATTTACTTACTTTACTATAAGTGGCAGTAAATTGCCTCGCGTTAATGATGCGCCGCTGGTGCAGGATTTGGTGCAAGTCTCGACACATGACAGAGCGTGCTGCTTCATCCAGATCAATGGAGCTTCCTCCTCCTTGCTCCCGCAAAGGAAAGTAGACACTGGCCCCGAGAACACTCCTCCCCTCCTCTCCTCCCGCAGAGCTGGAGCTTTCTCCCTCTTCAAACCTCGATCCGGCTCCCAGTCTTGCTCGGTGCTTGTCTGCCTTCGTGAGGGGAGATTTCTGAACGTGTCCATGTCATGACACAGGACAGCGCAGGATCGAAGTGGTCGCCTCTCAAGGCACTGGAACCCCATGTGCACAGGACTCTTTTGCAGTGGTTTGAGTTTGGTTACATGAAATATGCGATGTTTGCAAGAGTGCCCGGTTCTTTTTCTGCTACACTTTGTTTTCATTCTGGCAGCCGGCCACATAGAGCTCTCCGACTCTGGCGGACTCTTCTCCCTGTTTGCAGAACAAGGTCAGTGTGGTGCAGTTGTTATTGAACCTGCACTTCTGTGCATGTATAATGCATTCATCATGACTGTAAAAATGTGCATGGTTTAGTGCACATTAATAACAGTAAGCATTACAGGTACAAATCAATGCATCACAACTGATTTCTATTGTGTTACATTTTATTCTGCAGGTCAGTTGTCAGAGTCAGATCTATCCACTGTTCACCCAGTGAAAACCACCGCTGATGGAGAGTTCCTCTCCCACTCTCTGGCTCACCACTTCAAAGGTGGGCGAGTCAGGCGTGACCTGCGACCCCTTGGTTTGGAGGGACAGGTTTACTACAAGGTCAACTACAAGGGTCGCGCTTTAATGTTTAATTTGACTGCTAACAATCAACTGGTTTCAAGTGGCTACATCCTGGAGAGGAGGAACGGCAGTGCCAACAGCACTGAGCATCGTGGCGCTGACAGGAACTCCTGCTACCTCCTCGGCACAGTGGAAGCCCCTGATGTGTGGGGAACTGCTGCCATCAGCACATGTAAAGGATTGGTAAGGAACCACACTGTCTGACATGCATATCAAGGGAAACAGATTATTTTAAACCTCCATCTCATTCATCAATTTGAGTCCTATGATCCACTTTAAGAGTCATTCACCCACATCTACAGTGAAAAATCTAGTTTATTTTGACAGGCAGGTTCTTTAATACACAGGAGAAAGGGGGCATCACTCTGGGGAAGCTGGTATGTGGCTTAGGCACTCATATTCTGTTGAGCATACCCTTCCATCTGACAGTGCCCTGTGTGTTAGTTTGCCCTTCAAAGACTTCCTGACAGTATTTGCAGAACGACTGTGCTGCAGACCCACTGACGGCTACTGCTTCTCGGCTAACTATAAGACCCTTTCTGTCTTCTTTGTCCTCAGATGTTTCCCTCTGTACTTTCTCCCTCACTAATTCACTCTGCAGCCCCCCTTGGACGTGCAGTGTTACTTTGTTCTTTGTTGAGATAGAGCTTCAGTAATAGATTTTGGCAATTTCTTTACAGACTGGAACAATACGGTCTGACAGATGGAGAGACCAGAAATAGGGCCATATGTTTTGTTCAGAGAATCTGTGACTGAACTTTGACTGAAATGTTTTTAATCAAAAAAGAAGTTCAACTACAAAGAAGAGAAAACAGCTGGTCAGCAGATAGACAAAGGAGCAGCTGAGCATATGAAACGTTTTGATTATTAGAAGACATGACCAATTCTGGAGAAATGTATGGTGCTGCACAGACTATGAGTATTTTAGACCTTTAATGTCAAAATAAGAGTTGAAATACACTCTTCCCTATATAGCACCCCAAATTAGATGAGATTGGGAAAAGGGAAGAACTTCCTCCTCGGAAAAAATGGGATGTGTCAGTTTTAGTCATGAAGAAGGCTTTGGTGTTCGTGTTTGATTTTGTCACAGCAGGAATGCCTCTCCTGCAGGGTCTTGCCTCCTCCTCTGTTATGTTTGTGTGGGTTGCTCTGCCTCTCCTTGTAAATGCATATCATTAGAAAAGTATGTTATGTCACTCTAAATTCCAATTATCGACAACCTACCGCATTGAGAGGATTTATATGCGCAATCCTAAATGCTCCAGTGTGTCCCTTCTCTCCAACCTACATGGGAAACCACCATGATGTATTACACTGATTTTCTGCTCTGTAGAAGAAGGATTACTGCAGCTTAAACCACAGGGAGAGACCACTAAACATGAGGCTCGGCCATGCAGATGTGGGAGGGAAACCCTGCCAGCTGCTGTGGAGGTCATTCCCCCCTCAGGAGACAGATAGAGATGGACTGCTTCAAAAAATAGATTCATGATAATCTTTTGTTTATGTTGCACAAGCCTGGAGTTACTTAAGGCTTTAAACAAACATAAGGAACACAAAAAAACATGACAAAGACATATAAATCACTGATCCATGATTATCTGATGACCACTGTTGTCGGTTATGTTGTGTAATCAACTAGAGAAAAAAGGCCTTCATCTAATAACTCATTCTTCATTTAATCTTCTAAAAAAAAAATCGCAATTGTGACATCTTGAAATGACTTGTTTTGTAATTGTCTTATA